GTGTGTAACTCAGTTAAGTATTTGCTTTGTATGTGAGTTTAATTTTTTTTTTTTTTGGGTCCGGTCATGGGGCCTGGGCACTGTCCCTCAGCTCTTCAGCTCAAGGCTAGCGCTCTACCACTTGAGCCACAGCGCCACTTCCGGCTTTTTTCTAATGTGGTGCTGAGGAATTGAACCCAGGGCCTCAGGAATGCAAGGCAAGCGCTCTACCACTGAGCCACCTTCCCAGCCCCTGTGAGTTTAATTTTAAACATCAAAAATAATATTAAAAAATCAGGTGCTTGTGGCTCACACTTGTTATTCTAGAGACTGGGATATACCCAAGAGACTGGGATGCAGAGGAAAGCCATTTGAGGCCGGCCTAGGCAGAGAAGTTAGACTCCATCTCCAAAAGAACCAGCAAATACCACTATCACTCCCCAAAACTAAAAAAGTTTTGTTGGAATACTGAAATGCAGTGAAGATGTACAAAGTCGAATTTGTATGTGAATTGCCATTAGCCATAAGCTCAGGCCTTATGTGGAGTGAGCTGAGGGGACATGCCGCCTGGTCACTGACCACTTTGCCTTCTAACTGGAAACAATCAAAAAGACTCCTACAAGAAAAGCAACAGTAAAACCTGGAACACAAGTCCAGAGTGAAGTTAGTACAATGAAAGGAAGTTGGGCCCTCTTGTGGGAGGCTAGGTGTAGATGGTGCTCCAGATACTGGTTTTTATTGCTTCATGGCATGCTGAGAGTTTTATCTGAACAAAGGCCTTTCTTGTGTAGTCTTACTGGCCTGTCATTCCACACACTCAGTTGGAGCTATTTGAGATTGCAAGGAGCAAGGCGCTCTGGTACCTCTTAGCCTTTTTAATCTGCTGTCTCATATTGCTTAAAAACTACGCTTGACAATAGATGGTTGGAGGATACCAAAAGTTTAGCAATATTAATGCTAAGTGCTTAGAAGTTAAGACTTGATTCAGTTTTAAACAATGTGCAAAGTAATGTCTGTACCCATTGAGACCAATTTGTGAGCAACTCAGAATCGGAATCTCTGCCCTTATTGGGCACGACTGGTAGTGAGAAGTGTGTTATGGATATAAAGCATAAAGATAGGAGGGCTTGCTACTCTGTAACTTGAAGATTAGAACAAGCTTTAGGGGACTAAGCCAAGTTTTACTCTGAACACACGAAGCAGTCACAAAAGCCCCCTTCATTGAGAACAATGATCCATTGCTTTTGCTGTGAGAATACTCACATCTGGATTATACTGCTGATTCTTCGAACCTAATGTTTTACAGATGTGGAAGTAAACAGGTATAGATTAGCTCGGATAGATTCGTGTGGCCTCTGAGTCTTAAATTTAGGATAGGCCTTAAGACATAAATTTTATATTGAGGGAGAGGACCATTTAGTGCTCTTAGAGTGAGGGCCATGCACCTTTTTCTTGGATGGTTAGGACCTTTAAAACTTTGATCTTTGGGGCTGGGAAGGTGGCTCAGTGGTAGAACGCTTGCCTTGCATTCATGAGGCCTGTGTTTGATTGCTCAGCACCACATAAGCAAAAAAACAAAAAAAAAAAAAGCTGGAAGTGGTGTTGTGGCTCAAGTGGTAGGGCAATAGCCTTGAGCTGAAGAGCTGAGGGACAGCGTCCAGGCCCAGAGTTCAGCCGCCATGACTGACAAAAAACAACAACTTAAAAAAACCCCAAAATCTTGGATCTTTAAACTGACTTGTGAAGATGACCGTCAGAAAGTTTACTTGCCTAGGAAGCATGTGTCTGAGTGTTTCTTTATTTTAATCTCTTTTTCTCCATCGTGTGTCCATTCACATGAGGTCACATAAACACTTCAACTGAATTGAAATTTTATTCTTACATAGGAGTTAATATCATTCATATAATGTTAAAACCAGTAGTCATTTCATAATTCTCTCTACACCTGGAAGGTCTAATTTCTGAGGCATCTTTAAAAAGCATCCATTATGAGCCAACTTTTATATTGGCAGATGGAAGTTGGCATGTATAAATTTTGAGGGGACCTATATGGATGAAATGATCCATGTGGTAGGTTTTGGGACTTTGATGTTTTATTTGAAGAAATAGTTTACTTTTTGGGAAAGCCACCTCTATCCTCGTGATAAAGATGATGAAGGCAAGAATTGCAATTAGCTTTGGGCTGGTGGGCTTTGCTACTCCCTGCCACAAATGTTGCCTCCCCCCTTCTCCCCGCAATGTGTACGGAAGGTAGTGATGGGAATCTGTTTTGTTCTTATAACTCCATGTTGTTCCCCTCTTAGCTCATTCTTTTTATGTATCCAAAGACCTATATGAAGGACTCACCTCTCCCCTCTGGAACTATTGCCTGGGGTCAGCACCATATATTAGGAAAATGGAGGAGAAAGGAAGGAAATGGGCCGGACACGATCTGCCACAGGCGAGGATTGTTTATTGAGATAGAGCAGTGAGGGACACAGCCTTCCTGTGGGCTTGGAGACGGTGTGTAGGAGCTGGGTTTTTATGTGGTCTGAGCAAGGAGACAGAAGCTAATGAAAAAGTCATTAGGTCAAGGGAGGTGGGGGGGATTTTCAGTTGGACCCATGATGGAATGTTTACAGCCAGGCTTAGATGGATTGCTGTGCCGGAGTCGGGCAGTCTGCACTTATCTTTGGTGGCTTGCCTGGCATCTGTATGCACCTGGGAAAACAGGGTGGGAGTCAATCCTTCAAATTCCATCCTTGGATACATAGGAAGAAGAATGGTTCCAGAGGGGAGAGCAAGTCTTTCAGATAGGGGTCAGGCCTTGCCTGGGAATTTTAGCAGGAAGCAGAATATGTCTTAGATAACTGCCTGGCATAAATCATGATTGACATCGAGAAACAATATAATTGATACTAGCACTACTTTCTAGTGGTAAAGAAAAGAGATGCTTGTTTGTTTCTGAGCATTTTGTCTCTTAGCAAATAGGTTGCTGCAGTAAGTAGCCTTTGAAACAAACCCAGCCCCATCTCCTTCCAAACAAATAGGCTCTGGACCATCTTTTCCCCTTTCTTTGAGAACCATTGCCTGGGGTCAGCACCATATGTTAGGAAAATGGAGGAGAAAGGAAGGAAACAGGCCGGACACGATCTGCCACAGGCGAGGATTGTTTATTGAGATAGAGCAGTGATTGGCACTAAGAACATACCTCAAAGAAGGTCTTTTGCTTGTGTAGGTGAACAAGTGACAGGGTATGCATGGACCTTGAGTAACGAGATTTCTGCTGAAGGCCAGCTACATACATCTCTTATTATAATACAAACATTTCAGAATACCCTTTGAGATAACTAATTAGGTGATCCTCCCTATCACTTCAAAGTATTTAGAGGTGAAGAAGGTGGTCATAAAATCTGACCAGCAGATAGGATCTAGCAGATAGGAAGTGATGAAACAAATACCTTTCTAAGTTTTAAGTTTTACATGATATTACCTGGCGGTTTTTTGTGCTAGCTGTTGACTTTAGTAGACAAGTTAGCATTTTTATGTAGACAGCTTTATGAATTAGACATAATAACCTAATTTAGGCATTATATGTAGATTTTTTTATTGCTGGTACAAAGTGTTTTAATGTTTATAGAACTGTAGCCCATTTTGCCATTTATAGGTCTTTTTTCCCCCTTGTGCCCATTCTGGGGCTTGAACTCAGGGCCTGGTGCTGTCCCTGAACTTCTTTTGTTCAAAGCTAGTGCTCTACCACTTGAGCCAAAGTGCCACTTCTAGCTTTTTCTGAATAGTCTATTGGAGATGGGAGTCTCATGGACTTTCTCTGCCTGGGCTGGCTTTGTATCACCATCCTCAGATCTAGCTTCCTGAGTAGCTAGAATTACAGGCATGACCCACCAGTGCCTGGCTCATTTATGAGTTTTAAGTTTACTCTTGATTTTAAAAAGAAAATGTCTGGATTTATTGGAGGTCTAGTATGTACCAGCATGCAACATTTATTCTTAGGTTGAATCAGAAAAAAAGAAAAATCACTTAGAAGTTAACACGTGGTATTTAGATGATGATACTTAATCTGTTACAATTATGATTTTTTTTTTTTTTTGGCAGTCGTGGTGCCTGAACTCTGGGCCTGGGCGCTGTCCCTCAGCTCTTCAGCTCAAGGCTAGCACTCTACCACTTGAGCCACAGCGCCACTTCTGGCTTTTTTCTTATGTGGTGCTGAGGAATCGAACCCAGGGCCTCGAGCATGCAAGGCAAGTGCTCTACCACTGAGCCACCTTCCCAGCCCCTGTTACAATTATGATTAACTGAAGATTTAGAATTTGTATACCAAGAAGAAAAACTCCAAAGTCAAGTTGATTTTAGATAAATTTAAATGTCTGTTTTGCAGGGTGATTATTTTAATCCAAAACTGAAAAATATCAGATGGATTTATTGGAATAGATTTGTCTTTACAGGTGACAAATGTCAGTTTTGTTCAGGTTTGTAGGACACAATCACATTACTTCCAGAAAACATGGCTTCTTCTCCCTCTGCCTTCCGTTTTTTTTGTACCCTTCAAGAAAAAAGACATTAAAGGGAAGACATACTCTGCAAAATCAAACCTCGACTTTAGTGCCTTTATCTTTAGGTTTTCTTGGAAATAGTCGCATGAAGAAAAGGAAGAGAAGGAAATAACTTCTTTGAAAGTTTTTATATTTTTCCAACATCATGTACCTTTGAAAAGATAAAATCTTAGAATTGTTTTGTATGTTTCTAGCTTTTTGTGTGGAAAACCTTGTCTCCCATTAGCCATCTCTTAAGTTCCAGGCTACTGTATGATAACTACATTCACATTCACAGTACAAATTCAGGAAAGTTCTATAGCAATAGGTTATACAGATGAATTTGGATTTCTGTGCAGATGCTAGCACCTAGTAAACACCTGGACCCATTCAGGACCCTAATAGAATTCTAGCCCTGGATACCCTTGGGATTTGTAATACTTGAAGATTTATGTTTGTATCCTTATGACTAGTGTTTTCCTTCCTTTAGGATTAAAAAAAAATTCATTAGCATAAATGGATTGTACAACGATTTCAGTGTGATATTTAAACATGCATATAATGTATTTTGTTTCAGTTCACTCTATGTAGGATGCTTTCAGATCTTGATGTGTGTTCCAAATACACTGTCACAGTAAGATAAGGACAATATCATGGAGAAGTTAGGCCATTTAGTTCATGAGGAAGTTTTTGTTCCTGATTCAAAATAATGAGTCCTAATCACTGACTTTTAAGTATTGGCTGAGACAGTATGGATTGTTCTTTGCTGTGGAATTCAAGTGTGTTATTTTTTTTTAAAATAAAGAATGTTTTGTTGCGCCATGTTTGCTCAATTGAAAGTTTCCTCATCTCGTGGTGAGACCCTTCTCTAATTCAATCTTTGTCTTTTGTCTTTGCTGCCTTGCAGGGTTGGTACAATAGGCTTCACTAGACTTAGCTGCAACTCAGAATTTCTCCTCCAGCACCTGAGTAAATGCTGATGGTCTTGTGGAGAGTGGATTAAGAGTACGAGCTAAGTTCTCAATCTCAATTAAGAAGCGGAGGAAAATTTAACTGTCTCCTTCAGAGTTTATCACAACCACCACCATCAAGACAGCAAACCAAAGGACAAAGACTTTGACCTGCTGTGTTTCTCTGTATAGTCCAGTTCACGTATGGTTTACAGACTTGGCTGGGGTGACTAATAAGTAAATAAAAAGTTGGACACGTCTGTCATTTGGACACTTTGATTCACAATTTACCAGAATGAGGGCTATACTGGAGCCAACAGACATTGCCATAGTGGCCCTGTATTTTATCCTGGTCCTGTGCATTGGTTTTTTTGCCATGTGGAAATCTAATAGAAGCACCGTGAGTGGATACTTCCTGGCGGGGCGCTCTATGACTTGGGTAGCAATTGGTGCCTCTCTGTTTGTGAGCAATATTGGGAGTGAGCACTTCATTGGGCTGGCAGGATCTGGAGCTGCAAGTGGATTTGCAGTGGGCGCATGGGAATTCAATGCCTTACTGCTTTTGCAACTTCTGGGATGGGTTTTCATCCCAATTTACATCCGATCAGGGGTATACACCATGCCTGAATACTTGTCCAAGCGATTTGGTGGCCATAGGATTCAGGTCTATTTTGCCGCCTTGTCTCTGATTCTCTATGTCTTCACCAAGCTGTCAGTGGATCTGTATTCGGGTGCCCTCTTTATCCAGGAGTCTTTAGGTTGGAACCTTTATGTGTCTGTCATCCTGCTCATTGGCATGACGGCTTTGCTAACTGTCACTGGAGGCCTGGTTGCAGTGATCTACACAGACACTCTGCAGGCTCTGCTCATGATCATTGGGGCGCTCACTCTTATGATTATTAGCATGATGGAGATTGGTGGATTTGAGGAAGTTAAGAGAAGGTACATGTTGGCCTCGCCCAATGTTACCTCCATTCTGTTGACCTACAACCTTTCCAATACAAATTCTTGTAATGTCTACCCCAAGAAAGAAGCCCTAAAAATGTTGCGGGCTCCAACAGATGAAGATGTTCCGTGGCCTGGATTCATTCTTGGGCAGACCCCAGCCTCTGTGTGGTACTGGTGTGCTGACCAGGTCATCGTGCAGAGGGTCCTAGCAGCCAAAAACATTGCTCATGCCAAAGGCTCTACCCTCATGGCTGGCTTCTTGAAGCTTCTGCCAATGTTTATCATAGTTGTTCCAGGAATGATTTCCAGGATACTGTTTGTTGATGACATAGCTTGCATCAACCCAGAGCACTGCATGCAAGTGTGTGGAAGCAGAGCTGGGTGTTCCAATATTGCTTACCCACGTCTGGTGATGAAGCTGGTTCCTGTAGGCCTTCGTGGCCTGATGATGGCAGTGATGATTGCAGCTCTGATGAGTGACTTGGATTCAATCTTTAACAGTGCCAGTACCATATTCACCCTTGATGTGTACAAACTCATCCGCAAGAGTGCAAGCTCCCGGGAGCTAATGATTGTGGGCAGGATATTTGTGGCCTTTATGGTGGTGATCAGCATAGCATGGGTGCCAATCATTGTGGAAATGCAAGGAGGTCAGATGTACCTTTATATTCAGGAGGTGGCAGATTATCTGACACCTCCAGTGGCGGCCCTGTTCCTTCTGGCAATTTTTTGGAAGCGCTGCAATGAGCAAGGAGCTTTCTATGGTGGAATGGCTGGCTTTGTTTTTGGAGCTGTCCGGTTGATTTTGGCCTTTACCTACCGTGCCCCAGAGTGTGACCAACCTGATAACAGGCCTAGCTTCATCAAAGATATCCATTATATGTATGTGGCAACAGCATTGTTTTGGATCACAGGACTCATTACTGTAATCGTTAGTCTTCTCACACCACCTCCCACAAAGGATCAGATTCGCACCACCACTTTTTGGTCTAAGAAGAGCCTCGTGACGAAGGAAAGTTGTTCTCAGAAAGATGAACCGTACGAAATGCAAGAGAAGAGTATTCTGCGATGCAACGAGAACAGCGAGGCCATCAACCATGTCATTCCCAATGGGAAATCTGAAGATAGCATTAAGGGCCTTCAGCCTGAAGATGTTAATCTGTTGGTGACCTGTAGAGAGGAGGCTAACCCAATGGCTTCCTTGGGTCCTTCAGAGGCAGAAACACCAGTAGATGCATATTCCAATGGGCAAGCGGCTCTCATGGGTGAGAAGGAGAGAAAGAAAGAAACGGATGATAGAGGCCAGTACTGGAAGTTCATAGACTGGTTTTGTGGCTTTAAAAGTAAGAGCCTCAGCAAGAGGAGTCTCAGAGACCTGATGGACGAGGAGGCTGTTTGTTTACAAATGTTAGAAGAGACTCCACAAGTTAAAGTAATACTGAATATTGGACTTTTTGCTGTGTGTTCGCTTGGAATTTTCATGTTTGTTTATTTCTCCTTATGAACTTAAGGATACGATGAGACACTTAACTTAAAATACTGGTCTTTGGGGGAAAAATTATGTAACTGTCGCATCTCTCTCAGGCATTGTTTACGCAGTAGGTTTTAGCCAAACTTTACTTAGCAGAACGCCATCTATTTGTAAGACTTTATTTTCCTAGAGATGGATGAAAGTAGATCCTCAAATTAAGTGGCGCAGAACAGACTTAATTGTGCAAAAATGTGGTTTTAAAGCATTACATACCAAAGTAAGGAGGTCACTTAGAGCAGAATACATATCAAAGGTATTTTAAGAAAATATATATCAGGACTGCCAATTCTTGGTAGACTTTATGCTGAAGATTGTTTATTTCTAATTTGTTTTGTTTTGTTTCTGTAGTCCATATTACCTTTTAAAGAAACCTGAATTTTTAGAATACTCTGTAATGCGTTACATACTGAAAATATAATGTCCTTGAGTGGTCCTTCTTTTAGGGCAGGTTAGGTTTGCCAGGTTTGTTTTGTTAGTGTGAGTCTGTGGATGCTGACTGCCAAGAAAAGGAAGGAATGTTTCCTGTTTGTATTTTAGTATCACTTGTATGTAGAGTGTTGTGGGGGAGAACTTTATTCCAGCTATTCCCCCTCTGTTTGTTTCTATTTTCATGGAGGTTTAAGTGAAACATACTCAAATGACCACCAAGTGTGTCTATAAAGTTTTGTCTAAATTGTGTTGTTAAATAATTATGGGGGATAGTAGAAGGGCCATTACTTATGAGTCCCACGTTTATTGACCAAATTAAGGTTTCTTTTCAATATAGTTTGGGAATAAGCAGTTCCTAAGCAGTGTTTGACTTAGGCTAAAATGATTAATCATGCTCTGCCAATTTTCTAGCTTTTTCTTGTAGTTTGATGACATTTTTATTAGTCAAAGTTTCCTTCCCAAGTGGATCGATTCGGGATATATATAGTCCATTATCTTGAAAAAGTGGCGCTGCTTTTGTGTGCTCAGTTACCCAGGTTAGTGAAGCTCTCGATATATGGAGAATGAGATTTCAAGAGGGAAACCTCAACTTTGAGATCAGAATGCATTTTTCTTCCCCAGTTCTTATCCCCCCCCCAAATTGCCATTTGTTGTTATAGTCATGTAGAGCATGAGGATGTTTCAGTGAGAATAGGCTTTCTGTTACAGAAAACTCAGAGAGCTGACTTGCTATTGGTAGATTAGCAGTATAATCTTTCTGTAGGATGGATAGCATGTTGGAAAGGTGCCATGAACAAGAATTGTGTCTATAGAGGATGTTATAGGACTTGTGTAGATAGGGTACTCTTGTCTAGACATGAGTTGATACCAGTTGCAACATTTGTGGGTAGGGATCTTTATTGAGGAGGGGTACAAAGGATGTTAAGGAAAGGCTTTGTGAGTGATGTAGTTTTGTGTCCTCAACACTGCCCTTTGTCCTCCAGGAAACATGAAAAAAACTAATTGTGTATCTACTTTCTTTGTCTTTAAACTGATACTTTTTAAATTGCATGATTTTACTAAGCCTTGTATTCTTTAGGGAAAATTACTTTTATAGGTAATTTTGTAGATTTTGAATCAAAACTCAGTCCTGATGACTAAATTTTTTGTAATGTATACACTAGTTTGCTTATGGTGGACTTGATTAGTCTAAAGTTGATTTTAGAAATAATCAGGTAGTATAATGTCTTCCTATCTTCAGGAGGCTTTTCTGATGGATTGAGTCTATAGATGAAAAAGTAATTCATGTATGATTAGCATGTATTTCTGAAGAGCTTAGAGTGCCTTGTATAATTTTTGTTCTCAATTTTATCCTTGAGATTTATAACATGGGGCCAAGTAAATAGGGACCATTCTTGTCTTGTATGGAGAGTGAGGCTGTGACACGTTCAAGGCTACTAAACCTATTTGGGAAGAACAGAAACCAAGTCTCCAAGTCTAGACTCAGAATTTTGTCCAGATGTGTCTCGACAAATAGTTTGTGCTATTTTTTCCTCTTTTGATATAACCTTTTCATGTTTTGGAAAGGGTCTTGCATTTTCCAGATTGGTGTTAAAGTACAGGAATTAACATTTCTTTGAACTCTGAACACATTTTTCACATAGCCCTGAGCATTGACACAGTGGCCAGGCAGCCTTATCTTTTCTCTCTATAACATAAGTGAATAGGAAAGTGTGTATGTGACTTTTTCTCCTTTATTTAATATTGAGTACTAATACTTTGGAGAATTAGGGTCCCTGTACCTTTTCTCTTTTGTGTCAGTAAGATACATAAAATATATCATCTTGTGTCTGTTGGTGTGTGTATAGCAGTAGGTCAAGGTTAGAGTACTAATGTGTGTAAATAAGGAATGACTATTAGCATGTCCATTAGAGTTGTTTATTCTTATTAGTGTAAACATCACTTTATTTATACTGAAGTCCATGAAGCTTTTTCCGTCTTATTGCTTCCCAGGAATAGATAATGTTCTTGAATCAGTATGTGAATTGCTGATGGCATCTTCCTTTGGGGAACTGATCTTTAGTCTGTTAGATGCAGTAAGTGTTCATAGGATGATACACTGACTTTCTTAAAGTAGCAAAATGTTCATTCTTTACACTTGAGTAAATGAATCCTAAAAGATGACATTGATGTCTATACAATGTGTGTACTTTTATGTTTGCTCAAACTAAGCTAAGGTATAATAGCTAAAAGTCAAAGTGAAAAGTATGAATGGCATTGATTGGTTAATGGGCGGTGGGGGGAGGGGCGTTGCAGTGGACAGGAGAAAAAAATACCATCTTTGCCAGCTGTGAATGATATCCTCCAGCGCCTAGATTTTTGTCTTCTCAGGTCAGGCAGTCTTCATCTCCTGATCTGAAGAGTTTAGTATACTGGATTGAAGAAAGATTTTTTTTTTTAAATGGTATGGGACCTTTGGATTCTCTGTTCATCTCAGAAGATTCTGACCTGTCATCCCAAGAGTGAACTATTGAAGCAGGTTCTCCCTCATCTGCCTTTTTTTTGAGGAGATGACTACTTGTTTTGTTTTTAGAAAAGCAAGTAATAGCAGTGGTGCTGTGTGTATCCTTTGATCCATACTCAGTAGATCTGATCTCCAGGGCTTCCTTTTCATTTACTTGGCTCAAAGGATCCATTGTGTTTTTTTGCACAGACTGGCCAGGGTCTCAAACCATAGCAGAAGAGATTGCCAGACCCATCCCTCTGTGAAACTTTCCATTTTAAGAATTGTGCAGGAGCGTTGTTATTCAGCTCTTTATCCCCAGACTAAGCAAAAGTTTACATTCCTAGAGCATCAAAAATTTGTGGATTTTTGCCAGGTACATGGTCTTCCTCTCTTTTGAGTATGATTTAATGTAGTCTATGAGTTACTCTTGTGGTTTTTCACACATAAAGCAGCTATAGTATTAGCCATTAAAGAATTAGGTCTGGGCTGGGTGCTAGTGGCTCATGCCTATAATCCTAGCTACTCAGGAGACTGAAATCTGAGGATTGCAGTGCCAGCCCAGTCTGTGAGACTCATCTCCAGTTAACCACCAGAAAACTGAAAGTGGCACTGTGGCTTCAAGTGGTAGAGCGCTAGCTTTGAGCAGAAAGCTTAATAAGGACAGCACCCAGGCCTTGAGTTCAAGCCCCAGGAGCAACCAAAAACAAACAAAAAATCATCATGGGTGTCTGGTGACATCTAGCCATGAAGAAGTCTAAACTCAAAAATTTTATCTTGGCCTCAGATTGATAAATTGAATACTAGGGAAAAAGATAGAGCCTGTTGAGCCCCTGGTTTAATGATAAATATTATAAAGTATGAATTAACACAGTAAAGGTTAAAGTGACTGGCACATGGTATCTATGACTTAGGAAGCATTTAGCCTGGGCAGGCGTTCCTATTGGCATCCATTTCTCTATGTATGTATGTTGGGAGGAGGGAGAGGGGACTTAACCATTTGAAAATATCTGGCTTTTATCTCCCTTACATGGCTCCCTAGTTCTTCATCTATTCCTTTAGTGCTTACCAAATTCTTGTTTTGCTCTTTGGTAAATTTAGTTCACTTTTCAGGCATAATGTCTTGGTATAGAGGTCTTAGATCTAAATAATGGCTTATTAAAATAGGGTTAAGTTTAGAGAGAAGGAATAATTTTCTCAAGTTTGTGTTAGATAATGATAAAAGCACTAACTAGTACAGTATTTTATTTTCAAGACTATTTCCACAAACTTAGGAAAGAGCAATAAAGAAAACTCAAGAGTCCCTTTGAAATGATGGTGTCAGAATATAGAGGCAGTCAGGTTTGTCTTAATGCCAGAATAAGTTTTTGCAGGAAAGATGGAACTAGTCTGTTGGTTTCGAAATTTTTTTGTACTAGTAGGGATGCAGATAGATTGGACACTGAGTAGAGGCATGGTTGACAAGCCCCTTTTCCGCATTATGTCCCTTTCGCTTAATTTGGTATGCTTTTGTTAGACTTCTCTGTTGGAATTCTGTACCTACTCAGCAACTTGGATTCCTAAAAGAGAATTTAGCTAAGATTCTAAGTAATTAACAGGCCTTGTCATTGTGTAGGCCCAAACCTTTATTTATTTAGTGCTGCAAATGTTTTTATTTAAATTTTTCTCTCTCCAGTTCTAGAAGTAAAACTTTACTACTGATTCATCTTTTTAAAAATGTTGTGAAATTGATGTCATTTATGTCTTTGTTTCTGTTTAAACTTCTTTAAAAGGTGGGGTTTAATTCCTTTGGGGGCCAGCATCCTGTTTTTCTAGTAATAAACCACCATAACTATTGGCATATAATCTTTTACTCAGAAATGAATGGAAAAGGTTTGATGTATCTATCCAGTAATGTCATGCACTTTACTCTTTAGGATACTATCATAGAATCTGCCACTGTTGACTTAAACCAAAAACCTTATTGTAGTAACTGATGTCTTTGGTAACTTGGATTCCCAGCATGACTGAAGAGAATCACTTTAGAATAAAGTTAGCAGACATGGTGGTGTCAGATTCTGACAGAAAGGCAGAGAAGAGCACTTATGTAATTGTTACTGGCCATAATGAAGCCATTCCCATTCCTTCCACATCCCTTCTGTACAGTTTACAGTTCAGTGAATTCCAGTTAGGTATCTACTGCAGTGATGTATTTCAACAGCACAAATTGATAGTAGATATCACAACTTAATTATATCTTGGTGAATTAATCCATTTCTCTTACTGCTGCTTAATAAAGAATTTAGTTTTTTTTTAAAAGACAAATTAGATTTTTCAATTTATCAATGTAGCCTAGGCTTTTGTAAGTGGAATGTTTATTAGTAACTCACTTTTTTGTTGTGATGGTTGTGAAATTGAGTTAGGCTTATTTCTGTCATTAAAATCCCAATTTGGCAAGGGCTGGTGTATGGTATTCCATAGTAGAATCCGTTTTTGGAATTGATGCATTGGATTAGTGCCTTCTTGTCGTCAGTATTGATATGCTAGTTTGCACCTTTTCCTTTCTTAGTAGGAACTTATAGGTTGTTACTCTTCTTAAATTGTATTATAACTAGTGATGGAAGTTAAAAGAAAATACAGATTTACATACTTTTATGTGTAGCCTTTAGGTTCATGAATTATTTACATTGCATCTTAATGTTATTTATTTTTCTTTACTTGCCTCTTTTATATCCATAATTAAAAATGTAAAGTTACTTATATAAATCGAATTATATTTTAATTCTATCATTTTCACTGTAGATTAGATTAGTATATCTTCAGACACATACATGACAACAGTTCATATACCATGAGAGAGAAAGCTAAAGTAAGGATCCATAGAAAGCACAAAATTATGTTCACATGTATTTCCTCACACAGAAAGCACAAGACTAAGAGCATTCTCAGTCACCCCATAAGTGCCATCATAATTCCCCCCAAGTATTTATCGGAATTGTTAGGAAGATCACAGTATTCATTTTAGATAATGAGGTGTCCTAGTTACAAATGAAGTTTAAGTGGTAAAGATTCAAAATACTCTTTTGAGTAAGTGTGTACTGGCTTATTGGTGGAAGGAAAATCCACAGTCAAAATACTGTGATCATGTTTGGGGACTGTTAGCAAAAATTGGGTCGATGGGCTCATTTGTACCTGAACTAAAGAAACAGGACAGACTTAGATTTTGGGTAGGTGGTAACCTTTAAGCTATGGAGCTATTGGAGTTATTTTAAAGTTTTTGTCTTGAGGAAATAATACTCAATAACAATATGAAAAATGGGGCAAAATTAAAATTTTAATAGGACAAATACTAGTTTTAATTTTTGTATAGGCTTGTGTATAAGATGAAATTACTGCAATTAATTTTAATAGAGGAGAATTTGATCAAAGTGTTCTAAATATCAAACTAATTCTGAGACAGATTTGCCAAATGCTTTTTACTGTGGCCTTTAGAGTCTGTAAGATTTTTTTAATCTATTCTGTTATCCTCCTTAAGACTAGATTAGTAGAAATCTGAATGAGCACAGAGTGGAAAATGTTTCTTCCCATCAGCATTGCCCTTAGCCTACCCTTCACTTTATGCACCTCTTGAACAGTCCTTGTTTACCAAGTGTGAACACATAGTTGTCTTGAATTTTGTTAGTATCAAGGTACAACTCAATGAGGAAAAAGTGATGACTGCCTTATGTACTTGCTCTCTATTTCGTGTATTTATCTTAGGGAATGATTTGGCAAATTGTATGATTGAATGAATGTGACAAATTTTAGAAGCGTTCATCTGGATACTTTGAGGGAAAAGTTTTCCTCCCTTTATGAACAGCTGGGCAGGTGTGTAGTTACACATGATTATTTTAGCACTTAAAGTCTTATGCTTAGTAGGTGGAGGCTGAAGGGAAAGAATGGGGGTGAACCTTGAGGAACATGTTTGGCTTTAGCAGTATGTGATAACACAAAGCAGTTAGAGCTTGTTAGTTCTGTATGTACATGATGTATTCTACCTTTAAATTTAAATAGATTGTAGCAACTTTATGAAAGAATGCTTTTGGATATTCCTTTGGCAGAAACATCCTTCATTTGTAATTCCATGGGAAATTGCTTTAAGTAGCCTAGGTGAAAGTAATGTAAATATGTATAATGAGAATTTTCTAATTTCACTGTGCGATCGCAGACTTTGGAATGGCAAACAGATCAACAAGTCTTTTGCTCATAGACTTTTCTGTGGGATTGTTAGATGCAAAAGCTTTATTATTTTTTTTCCAATAACATATAACATTATTGTCCAATAATGGTATGGAATCTTTTTTCTGCATTTCCTTGCCATTATTGGTTCAGTTTATAGGTTGCCAACAGTGTTCAGAAATAGAGCAAGGATTTACCCTTTCTTTGCTTTTTTTCTTTTCTTGGACATCTTGTTTGCTATGTCCAGACTTGTGTTGGCAATCCCCATATGAACTGTGCTTTTCAGTGCTTTTTTTTCTTTTTTGATAAGATGGATATCAAAAATAGTTGCTGTGCAAAAGTTAGTAGTATTCTTCAAGAAGAAAACCAATTCCTTTTCTAATAATATCCTGTGAAATTGCTTAACTCATTCCTTTATTTTTAAGCCAAATGTCAGCAGAATATTGCTGCTTTTATGTAGCAATTTTGATATGTAAGTATTTAATGCATTTTAAAAAGATGTCCACATTGAAAAAAATGTTTCCCCTGTGTCCTCCCTATTATACTAGTTCAGATTTTCTGTAAGAGACCAGTCAGCGTACTGGGTGTGTGCCTGTGTGTGTGTGTGTGTATGTGTGTATGTGTGTGTGTGTGTGTATTGTGTATATGTATCATTTTAGCTAGGTATTGTAGACTAAAATGTGATTATAAATGAAATTGATGAATGCTAATTTGTTATTAGTGGATTTTTTAAAATTGTAAAATGATGATCAATTTAGCCTCCATTGAGCACAGCTTTTTTTTTTTATTTCACTTAATTGGGTCCATGTCATTGTGAAATGTCATAGTTGCAAACAGAAAGTAGAATTTGGTATAAACCAAGTTACTTCTATCATGAAAGAAAAACAAATTGAACCTGTAGATTTAAAATTGTTAACTTCATGACAATGACAGTTCTAACTTGACTATGTTATTGTACACAATCTCATTTTTAAAATTGTTGAATGTATGATAATGGTTTAATGTGTTTTTAAGTGTTATTGTTTAAAAAATGAGAAAAATGAAGCAAATCTGCTAGAGAGCTGTCAGTTTTCATTACTGACTAAAATACACTGTCCTTTGTGTACTGTGTGTTATTTTGCCAGCTGCTGCATTTGCCTTCAGAAGTATTTGGAAACTTAAGATGAACTACATTTCTTGCAAAGTACATTCCTTTCTGTGGTATTTTGTCTTGTAACTGAAGTATAGTAATTATTTTATGGAAATGTTAGCACTTCTGTACCAACTTTGAATAAAATGAAAAATTTACCTTTCTGTGACTGAGTATTTTCAATATGAACATATTCCCTCAGATTTCCAGTGTCTTGTGTTTCAATTGAG